GTTTGTTTTCCTTTGTTTTTATTTATTTTCTTTTTTTTTTGTTAATTTTTCTTGAACGCAGTTAAAACTAGGAGATGAGGAAGAAATATAATCATTTGGTGCAAACACACAAACATACGCACACACACACACACACACACAAACACACACACACACACACACACACACACACACACACACACACACACACACACACACACACACACACACACACACACACACACACACACACACACACACACACACAGAGAGAGAGAGAGACAGATACACAAACACATCATGACATTAGACAAGAAAACATCCAGACGTTAAAACTGACGTACGAATGAGAAGAAGACATAGACAAAGACAGACCAACGATTACCGAAACATAAAGATTTTCAAGAAGATTATGATTAATCAAGATCGTGAATCCGGTGTTAAATTGGTCACCATAGACTAATCCGTCCGGCATCGTAGTCACTTGAAAAAATTTCTCATCAATCCCGATCATTGCAATCCTATGGGGATAAAAAAAATGGCTTCTCTCGTTGATTTCTAGGAACTCATGTTACGCCTACACAAACCAACATATCCATCGGGTAGGGAAAGACTTTCCCTACTCGATGGTGATGTCGATTTGCCAGGGCGAGCCATGACTTTCGAGAAATCATCGAGAGAAGTCATTGTTTACAAAAGCTGTTACGTCCTAATTCCAGCTCTATCTAAAATATGTTAAAAGTTCCCGTCGGTGAAAACATGACGATTGAGTACTTTTAACTGAAAATCGAATTCTTTTTGAGTTTTTTTTTGGAGTGGAGTTTTGTTAATCTATTACCCAAATTTGCGTTTACGATTCTTAGCGTGTTGAAAGTTTTCTTCCTGCCAGTTTCCAATGTGGTATGTAAAGAGGGATGGCATATGTAATCTGCATTTTCTTTTATTTGTTTGGTTCACCTCTAAGCTAATAGTACATTAGATGAGGAGATTAAAGTATAGAATTGATAGTTCCATTTAGAGTACGGCAGTGTGAAAATTGCATTCTACTTCTATATGCAATTTTCACACTGCCGTACTCTGTTATTTGAAATAAGCATCTTCAACTAAGATTAACGTAGCCCATTCTAGTCGAAATTCAAGTACTACGCAATGTTTGTTTTGATTCGCTATGAAAGTTTGACAGATAAAATGAGGGGTTAGTGGTTTTTCCTATGTTTCGAGAGGTGAATCGATTAGTTTGGGACCGAAGAGAGTTCCAAGGCTGAGCCAAAAAGTTGAGCACGTTATTTCGGGACCTTCTAGTCTTAGAGTTACCTCTATGCTATTAATGAATTCGTTTATTGGGTCTGCTTGTTTTCTGACAAACGTCAGTTTGTTCGTTTGTTTTTAAAACCTAGCTCAGGTTGAGGTTCGCACTGGGTTGAAACTGGTTCCAACCCCGAAAATAAACGAATTTGCTGTACACGGCCAATCATACCAACTCAGCGACTGAGATTAATTGACTCAGAGAATTTTCTTTCCACAAGCTATGAGTCACTGCAGTTTTTTTTTTCCAAATCTGAGAAAATTTCATATGGAAAGAAAATTCTCTGAGTCAATTAATCTCAGTCACTGAGTGGATATGATTGGCCGTGTATGTTACTGAGTTACTAACAGTGGGCGACGAAAACGTAACGAACACCCCTTTATAGCACTCCGCAATTAAAAAGTCATAATCATACTCACATTTTCTACGTTTCCCTTACTAAGCATTTAGATTTTGCTGATGTAGGTCAATAAATGTAGATGACATTGAGTGCCCTAATAAACAAATACCATAAACGAACTGTATCCCGGATAGGTAAACTATCTCAAAAATGGTTTGGATGATACCCCGAACAGGCCGTTAAGCTCTCTTTTATGATTATTTTTATTAGGGTGGTATCTTCCTCTATGAATTTAGATACACACTATAAGCCTCGTCTTGTTGCTGTTGTCTACACATTTAATTCACAACTATCGTATATGTACAATAGAAAAAAGTTCTATTATGATATTTCTACCAATCATGCTCGTCTAAATGGGAGGAAGTCAACCAGACACATTTCAAACATTTAGCAGAACTTGTAGACAGGGACGGTCATGTTACGGACTACTTAGGGATTGTTCATTAACTACGTAGACAGTTTTTAGGGATTCTTGCTCAAACCGCAATCTCCAACACCGGCGAGAGACCAGTAGCCGAGCACTTTTGCAAGCGGAAAACTTGCTGATTCACGGCAACGTCGGCCACCGAATCATCACCAAAACTCGTGACGGGCACATTATCAGCACGTTCCCGGGCTAATTCACCAACCGGACGAGTTCAAACTCACCGTGGACGAATCTTTCAGTAGAACAAAACTATACACCGAAAGTGTGGCATCCGAGCTCGGAGAACCGGGCTCCCGGGAGGCAATGAAAACCGACACCTAACAATGGAACTGAAGCTGCGTCTTAGATTTTGGAGGTTAGATTCAAGGTCATTGTATGGCCGATGGCCGCCACACAGTGGGACGAAATTAAAAAAGTAGGACATGGCCATTTGCGACGAAACTATTGAGTGTAAAATTTTTATGTCTTCTAGAATGTTTCTTCAATTTTTGAGGACTATTTGAGAGGTAAAATTTCTGCTTCAGGGGAGTATACACTAAGTTAAAAAAATATAACTTATAACTGATAAAATCGATGAACACCTATGAAAACATTGTAGGTGTGACATCATTTTAAGAAACTTTGCCAAAGACGACAATTTTCTATCTCTCAACTGGACGAAGTTATAGGGTGAAAATGGAATAACGGTAGTAGGATTTTTGATCTAATTTTCGTCCTACTAAGCACAACCCACACAGTCATATCAATGCAAAAATGGTACAGGCATCGAAAGCTCTCAATTAACAACTGTGGAAGTGCATCTAGAAGACTAAGTTGAGAGCACGCAATAAGCTAATATACGATATGCAATAAGCTTGAAATGCGAAGAAGAAGAAGAAGCACAACCCACGCTACCTCTCTTTCTTGAACGGGTTTTAACAATAAATTAAATGTTCTATCAAAGATGACTTCTAAATTTATTCCCCTTTCCATAAATACCATTGAACTTGATAAAAAGCGGTACGGTGCTAATGGATATTTTGGTCGCTATTGAAAATTTAGTGCATTGCTGAATTTATGTATGGGCCCAAATCCCCCTTGCATTTAGGCCGACATCCCCCTTGCATTTAGGCCGACATTACATCCATTTCCCCGATTTCATTATCGATAATTAAAAAAAAAAACATGGCAAAAAGCTGATCTAAAAAAACCGTAAAAATCGACTTTCGGTTTTCTTTAGAGTCCAACTTCTTTTACATGATGAGATAGAAAAAATATGCTAATTAATAAGTAAATTTTCTTAGGAACCTAAAGAAAAAACCGTTTTCTTAGGTTTTAGATTTCTATTTTTTTCAAAAAACAAAACGTACTATAGAAACATTAAAATTTGCATTCAACGTGTTTGCGATTTTCAGAGTGGGTTAGAAATGCTATCTAACATGAAACTTTAGTGTTATAATTTATTAGCTAGAGAATGTTCTTAGAAGAGGGAAGGCAGATAGTTCCTAAAGTACGGCAGTATGAAAATTTAATAGAAGCTGAAAATGAGCGAAGAACCTGCAGATTTGAAGAAATACTTCGAATCTCCGCGTACATCATACGGGTTAGGTAAAGAAGTGTGCGTTTGACCTGCACTGTCGCATTAATGGCCCTTCGCTCATTTTCAACTTCTATTCAATTTTCATACTGCCGTACTCAAATGGAACTATCTACCTACCCTCTTCTAAGACCATTCTCTAGCTAATAAATTATCACACTAAAGAAGCTTCATGTTAGATAGCATTTCCAACCAACTCTTCAAAATTTGTTTTTGGCGTTAAGGCTTCCCCTTGACTATTGTTGGTAAACACTCGAACAAAAACATTCTCCGTGTTGACGTTCACTTCGCTAATGGTAATGGCATACTTCTCCCTTGGCACAGCCTCACTCCGGAGTCCGGACGACAGAGTATGCTGGTACTTCCTGAAGCAACCGTGCCAGGAAAGGAATTGCGCCAGGTGGAAGTTCATCTCTCCATGCTTTCTATTCACCCATATCGAGATAATATTGAATCGCCAATGCGCCTATGAGCCTATGAGTTGCATCCGAATGTAACACAAGCACGAATCGTTTGAAAATAGTTTAATTTTCCCAAGTTCCCGAAAGCACTGCAGAAGGAAAAATGTTCTAAATATATTAGACTCGAATTTCTCATCAAACATTCATCAAATCCTAGAATTCGCAAATTTTCCCTTAGTCCATTTGAATCGCAATGTCTTAAATGTCATGTGCAGTACAACAGTACTGCCTATAATCGCATATTAGTCCCATACGAAAAAAGAAGGCATTGAAAAAATGGCAGTCGAAGTTACGAAGTGCAATTCTCATGTAAATTTATTGAAAGTTAAAATCTGTCACAATGAAGCTTGCATGTTCTATTATATCAGCGAAAATAGTGGCAATTCGAAAAGCAGAACTTTAACTTGAACTATGGACGATTGAATTTCAGGATAGGACTGATATGCGATTACTTTGCTTGATGGAACAAACTGACAAACTGATGTTGTTTTCATATTTTTCATGATCAAAGTCCATAGTTTTATCACATAACATGAAAGTAGATGCCAATTGATAGTGGATAGCGTTGTTATCTCAAAAACGACGAAAATCCATATGGGACTGATATGCAACCCGAAAGAAATGCTCATGAGAAAAATCTCCTAAAATAGTTGAATTGCGATTTCCAATTAACAATTGAACATTCTGATTTTCAGATGTTTTCCAAAGTTCGTGATAAAGAGCTGCTCATTTGGGCTAGTGTTATAAAACCGCATATTATTCTGCTTGAGGGTGAACAATCAATTATTTTCAAAATATTTTACGTAACTAACAGTGATTTCGCTTTTTCTTTTATTTCTCTCAATTTTAAGGCATGTTCGAGAAGCGTCGTTTCCGCAACTTCCTGATCTACGTCCAGGACTTTGTTCAGGATGATCCCAAGTCCTGGAAGGACTTTGACCCAATGAGCAAGAGCATGCAGGACCTGTACGATCACTATGGCCTGGACAAGAATACTCAAGATTTTGTTGGCCACGCGTTGGCACTGTACCGCGATGACGACTACCTGTTGGAACCGGCCGTTAAGACGATCAACCGCATCAAGCTGTACTCCGACTCGTTGGCCCGTTACGGCAAATCGCCGTATCTGTATCCGATGTACGGTTTGGGCGAGCTGCCACAAGGTTTTGCCCGTCTGTCGGCCATCTACGGCGGTACGTACATGTTGGACAAACCGATAGATGAGATAGTCTACGATGCCAGCGGAAAGGTCGTCGGTGTGCGCTCCGGCGAGGAAGTGGCCAAATGTAAACAAGTCTATTGTGATCCCACCTATGTGCCGGAGAAGGTAAGGGTTTTTGTTGTTGTTTTGGAATAATGTGATAACCATTAACATTGTTTTCCGTCAACACACAGGTACGCATCAAGGGCAAGGTGATCCGTTGCATCTGTCTATTGGATCATCCGATTTCAAACACAAAGGATGCGCTCTCGACGCAGATCATCATTCCGCAAAAGCAGGTCGGCCGCAAGTCGGACATTTACGTGTCGCTGATCAGTTCCACACATCAGGTCTCGGCCAAGGGCTGGTTCATCGGTATGGTTTCGACCACGGTGGAGTCTGACAATCCGGAGGCGGAAATCAAACCCGGTCTGGATCTGTTGGGTTCGATTGCACAAAAATTCGTCTGCGTTTCGGACTACTACGAACCGACCGACGCTGGGCTGCAATCGCAGGTGTTCATTTCGGAATCATACGATGCCACAACGCACTTCGAAACGACCTGTTTGGATGTGCTGAATATCTTCAAACGTGGCACCGGGGAGGAATTCGATTTCTCCAAGATCAAGCAGGAACTGGGCGACGAGGAGCAGTAAAGAAAAAAGAACAATTAACGGGTGTATGTGGAATGAAGGAAAGTTATACCTAGGTGGCCCTCTTCCTAGCAAAAAGTGGAAATCAGCTTCTCTCAGAAGAATATTAATTGCGATTAATATGTGGGAAAACCCTGCATCTGATACATTATTAATATTTACTGCTATTTTTAGTATCAAGAATTTACTTTAACAATATAATTGTATAACAGACAAACCAAGCTATTGTAAGGTATTTTCCAAACCAAACGGAAGACGGATGGATCGAAGCATCAGCACTAAAAGTTTGAATCAAGACAAAACAGAAATATGAACATCGAAGTATATCTCCCGGAGAAAGAAGAGATGAGGGATAAAATCGATTCTTCCCATAATAATCCCACTCCCACTAATCCGCGGGACTCTCCTATGCTTCGGTTGCTTTCTCTTTTGATTATCGTGTACCGTAGGGGTTAAAACAAACGAGTATTGTTTCTATCAGGTTCATGTTTTTTCACGAAACATTCACACGATCGCTAGAATTTCGATAAGAAACAAAGTTCTGCTTGACGACTAGAAACAAAACAAAATATATAGAACAAAAAAAAAGCATGATCAGTGAGAGGTTTTACGAAAGGGGTAAAAAAGGCTCGATCGCAATGTGCAAAAAAGCAGAAAAGAATAGAATAATCAAATTATCCACGTATATTCAAACTGAAAAAGGTAGTAAACTATTATGATTAAGAAAACAAAAAAAGACCTATTGGAAAAGATTGAAAACAAAATTCTAGAAGCGCTGATTGGCTTTTTAAGGAAACAGAATGTAATTCATGTATTTTCGAATGTCTTTCCGTTTCATTCTGCTGCTTAATTTTATACCCAGATGTATGGATATGTTTTGCGCGAATCAACAAATAAAATTAATCGTCTAGTGACAAAAACCAAAAAAAAAATGATGAATCGTTAATGTATTTTCCCCCATATCGTACTGCGAAAGAATTACCCAAAACCGGAAAACAGAAACCCAATAGGCATTGTAAGGCAATTTAGCGTAGACAAAGGCAAACTAAAACAACAGGCATTCCCGTTTCTGGACAAACCAAATTTAAAAAGCAAACACAGAACCACAGCATTTATTATCTGATCAGATCGAGTTGTAGAGTGGAGATGCATTTAAATTTATCGATCAAAAAACAAAAATCGCTTCGCGGCCATCGGAAGAACGTTTTCGTTTCCACATTTATGTGAAAAGCTTCTGCTCAGCCACAATCCAGAAATGTGACTCCTGATTTATTTGATTTCTTTAAAATTGTGTTCCTAACCTAGTAACGAACGAACCTGTTGTATTCACTCTCTACACCGATTCAGTGCTGTTCAAATGTGTTGCAAGCCACTGCTGCAGCAAAGCAAGTAACAGTAATAGACATGGACACGAAAATCTTACAATTTGCAAGATCAAATAAAGGAATTTTCAACATTAAGAGTGAACGGTGTAGTCTTTTTTGAAAAGCTGTAATGATGACTAAATAGCGGTGTGTGTTCAATTGCTTGTGCAATCGTCTTGCATCTTATTTAAGATTATTTTCATCTACCGCCATCCATGTCGGCTTTAGCCCTCCGTTTCAGTAGTTTTCAAATCGTGATCCGTCAAGCCTCGTAGTAAGACTACTATTAGCGTAAAGTAGGGCAAGATCCATAATCTACTTGATTGATTTATTATTTTCATTGTCAACATCGTCAGGCTACATTTAGCCATAATCCTTCTTAAATCTTTATTTATTATTAGTTCTCATAATCTCCATTTAAACTATTATTTGTCAATACTAAATTGATTTCCATCAAACTGAGTAAAATTTACCCTACTGGATAGTGGTTTACCACCCATTATAGCACGGAAACGAAGTCCGAAAGCATTGGGCTCTCTTCTCTGTTTGTCTTTTTTTTTTTTTATCTAGTTCGTTTATTTGGGAGGCTCAATCGCGTTAGCTTTACGGAGCCGATAATTCATTGTTCACTGTGTGTAACAAAATTCACTTAATTCTATGTCTAGTAGGAGTTGGGCCGATTACTCGCGGCTTACTCGAGGTTAGAAGGGTACATTTTCGAAGGATAGGATCAGGGGAGGAGCTTGGGGTAGGGTTTCGTTGTCTCATCAGAGCGTTGTCGCCAGTATGAACGGTAGTGCTGTTCTAGCTTCGTCCGGAGTTCGACCGGCTATGGTGGGTGACCAGTGGGCGACGATGAGACTCATCGAGACGGGGGGACAAGACAAACAAAAACTAATAAAGAGAGACAAAAGACAAAAGGAATTAAATTCTTATACTAGACATTTGAAGAAAAACATAAACGGACTGCATATAGCAGAGATCACGGGTTGCCAACACGTCTCTGATAGGAACATAGGGTTGTCTTCCTTGGGCCTCGAGGGTATTCAAAAGTCGCTCTCTGGCGGCGTCATTATCCGTACATTGCCAAACTGCGTGTTCGATGTCATCGTAACCGTTTCCACACCGACAGATGTTGCTGTCCACGAGGTTTATTCTATTGAGATGAGCATCTAGCGAGTAGTGGTTGGACATAAGTCTACTCATCACGCGAATGAAGTCACGACTTAAGCCCAAGCCTTTAAACCACGCTCTCGAAGAAACATTAGGAATAATTGAATGTAACCACCGTCCAAGATTTCCAGTGTCCCAATCGGTTTGCCAACTCGAAAAGGTACTCTGACGCACTAAATGGTAAAATTCATCGTGTGAAATTTGCCTGTCATACAATTCGCCTTCCTGCGCGCCCACCTTTGCGAGAGAGTCCGCCTTCTCATTGCCTGGGATTGAGCAATGTGAGGGGACCCATACAAAGGTAATCATATATGATCTTTCGACCAGCACACACATCTGCTCCCTTACCTTTGAAAGGAAATAAGATGAGTGCCTACCTTGTTTCATCGACCGAATAGCCTCAATCGAACTGAGACTATCCGAGAAGATGAAGTAATGGTCTGTGGGCATATTGGAAATCATCCCCAATGCGAAGTTAATTGCTGCCAGCTCAGCAACAAAAACAGAACAAGGTTCCTGAAGTTTGCGGAAGGCGCTAGAGTTTTCATTGAAGACACCGAAGCCAGTGGATCCATTGAGACGGGACCCGTCTGTAAAATATCTTTTCATGCAATTGACTTGTTGGTACTTTTCAGTAAAAATACGCGGAATAATAATAGGTCGAAGTTGATCGGGAATCCCATGAGTTGCTTGTTTCATGGTCAGATCATATTCAATTGAGGAACTGCGATTGGTGAAGTGAACACGGTCTGGAGTATAACAAGGAAGACACATATCTGATGATATGTAGTGGTGGTAGATTCTCATAAATCGAGATTGTGTGTTCAGCCCAAGAATTTCTTCAAAATTAGCAATTATAAGTGTGTTCGTCACTCCGCATTTGATTAGTATTCTGAGAGAGAGCTCCCAGAAACGGTTCTGGAGGGGTGTTACTCCTGCCAGAACCTCGAGACTCATGTTATGCGTTGAGTGCATACAGCCTAGAGCAATACGCAGACAACGATATTGAATTCGTTCCAATTTTATTAGGTGACTTTTTCTTGCCGAGAGAAAGCAGAAAGAGCCGTACTCTAGAACAAAGAGAATAGTTGTTTTATAAAGCGTTATGAGGTCTCCCGGATGAGCACCCCACCATGTGCCGCAAATTGAACGGAGAAAGTTGATCCTCTGCTGACATTTTTGCTTCAAATACGTAATATGGGCATTCCAAGTGCACTTTGAATCAAACCAGACCCCAAGGTACTTGAAAGACAATGATTGAGTAATGTTTCTGCCCAAAAGATTAAGATGCATTTGGGCTGGGTACCGCTTTCGAGTAAACACTACCAGTTCAGTTTTCTGCGGCGAGAATTCGATCCCTAGATTCATAGCCCAAGAAGACAAGTTATCTAAGGAATTTTGCAATGGTCCTTGCAAGTCCACGGCATGTGGACCTCTTACGGAAACCACACCGTCATCTGCAAGTTGTCTTAGCGTGCATTGTTCTGCCAAACAGTTGTCGATATCTTTGACGTAAAAGTTATAAAGAAGAGGGCTGAGACATGAGCCTTGGGGCAGGCCCATGTAGCTAATTCTGGAAGTTGTCAGTTGTCCAAGGGAAAAGTTCATTTGCTTTTCTGACAACAAATTGTACAAGAAATTATTTAAAATTCCAGAAAGTCCACATCTGTGCAGATTGTCTGACAGTATTTCAATGGAAACTGAATCAAAAGCCCCCTTAATGTCCAAGAATACTGAAGCCAATTGCTCCTTGTGTGCAAAGGCCAGTTGAATATCTGTGGAAAGCAGCGCTAGACAATCGTTTGTTCCTTTGCTCTTGCGGAACCCAAATTGTGTATTTGATAGCAAGTTATTTGATTCGACCCAGTGATCGAGTCTCCGAAGGATCATTTTCTCCAACAATTTCCTAATGCACGAAAGCATAGCAATCGGACGGTATGAGTTATGGTCAGACGCTGATTTGCCAGGTTTTTTAATGGCTATTACTTTGACCTGTCTCCATTCAGGCGGTACAATGTTGTTTTCTAGCAAGGAATTGAATAAATCTAGCAAGCGTCTTTTAGCGATATCTGGGAGATTTTTCAGAAGATTGAATTTAATCATATCGCTTCCCGGTGAGGAGTTGTTCGATGAAAGAAGAGCCATAGAGAAATCCAGCATTGAGAATGGTCTATCCAGAGAGCCGCCGCTAGGAGACGCTTCTCGAAGAATATTTTGTGCTGGAACTGAGTCCGGACAGACCTTTTTAGCGAAATCGAATATCCATCGGTTGGAGTATTCTTCACTCTCATTGAAAGATGAGCGGTTACGCATGTTGCGAGCCACCCTCCACAAGGTGTTCATTGAGGTTTCTCGTGAGAGTCCCTCGACGAAATTGCGCCAATAACCGCGGTTTTTTGCTTTGATTAATTGTTTCAGCTTTGTCTCAAGCTTTGAATATTCCTCGAAGTAAGTGGAGGTTTTGTGTCTACGAAAAGCTTTGAAAGCATCAGATTTTTCTACATACAATTTTGTGCATTCTTCGTCCCAACCAGGTGTGGCTGGTCTCCTTTTAAAGGGTGCACTTGGAACTTTTCTTTTTTG